CATGCTCGAGGGGGCAGGGGAGCCCCCAAAAGAATCGCATCGAGAGGTCGGATATCGGCACTCGAGATGGATCGGGGCGGCAGGAATCGGCAGCGGAGTCGGGAGAGATCGACTCGGCGGAAATCGGCAGGCCAGACTGCCTCCAATAAAAAAACGGACCCGGGATCGGAATCCCAATGCGATTCGTATCGGAATCGGAGGCTATCGAAATCGAACCGAATCGAATCGGAGAAGTCGAAATGAGCCCTGGGACTCTGACAGCTGCCCAGCAAGACGGCCGCGGATGGCGACCGAAAACAATGGGGCAAAACCATCGGCATCATACCTGGGGAAAAACTGGGAAGTACCAATACTGCCACTCTCCAGACCTCGCCTTGAGTGCGCTCTGACCAGGATTTCGAAGCGCATCCGGCGGCGGCGGCGAGGGCCTCCCAGGAGGCCCCACGAGGGGAAAACGAAGGACAGGTAGAGGTAAAAGCACCTTTGTGGAGGAACAACAAATCACATACTCATAAACTTCTGGAGGTCCGCGCGGATTTCTTGGATCCGCGCCGGACCCTCCTCCCCGGCGCGCGGAGCGCGCAAGTGGCGGCGCCGGAGGCGCCGCCAGGAGGGCCCAGCGCCGATCCAAGAAATCCGCGCGGGGCGCAAAAAGTTTATATTTATGCCGTCTTGTCTTCTTCGACTTTCCCTCCTCTGAAGACCATTTACGCGGGCGAGCATTCCCCTGCGAGGAAAGCGGGACGACCTGCGCAGGAAAGGGGGTATTCCGAGGCGAATCCAGCGGTGGCGGCGAGGGCCTCCCAGGGGGCCCCAAAAGGGGACAACGAGGGAAAGGCAGAGACGTAAGGGTATTCGTCGTTCATTTCTGACCGTGCTCATTTATAATTGTGCTCGTTTCTGATTGTTCCTGGCCCCCTGGTGGCCAGGCAGAGGCCCAGGACAGAAGAATCAGAGATGAAAGGATCTCGGCCCCCCAGAAAATCAAAGAACCCTCGAAGAATTCGAAATGAACAGTGTCGGCGGTGGACGAACCTCCCTTTAGCAAACCTCCCTTTAGTGAAAACGGCCTAGGACCGAAACCGACGGACCTGGACCCGCAAACATGACGGCCGCGACGCCCTCTCGCGAACCGAAAACGGCCCATTCCTTAATCGACGTGTCAGGGTAGGAGGTCTGTCAACCCCCGGCACTGTGTACCTCTCCCTCCTCGGAGTGCGGTCTGCGCGGGCGAGCCTTCCCCTGCGAGGCAGGAGCGGGGCCGGCGCACGACAAGGGGGGGCCGGGCAGCGACGCACCGAGCGAGGGGCGGCGAGGGGGCACCGAGCGCGAGCGCGCGCTGGGCGACAGGACGGGGCAGAGGAGGGCGTCGCAGGGACGCGGACCACGGGCACGAGGGGAGACACCACCCAGCGGACGTTCGGCGGTGAGCGAGGGGGGGGGGACGTGAGAAGAAGAAGAAGAAGGCCTTCTATGAAGGCTCGGGAATTCCCCGGCCGTCCGAGCAGCGCTCGAAGCCTTCCCCAGAGGACAAGCCAAAACGTCTCGGAAGGCCGCCAGAGCGCTCCTGAGAAGCCCAGCTGGCTTCTGAGAAGGCCTTCTCCTTCTCGTTCAACCCCCTCTCTCGCCTCCGAGATATGGGCGGACGATCGGGCACAGCACGAGGCGACGAGGACTTGACGGGCAACGAGCATGCTAGAAGCCGGCAAGACAGGCGCACGGGAACGGCGACAGGGACGACGAAGAACGGCAAGGAGGCCACCCTCGAGGGGCATCCGGAGACAACCGAAGGAACAAGGGATCAGAGGGACCGAACAACCCAAACATCGCAAGGGGCCAACTAAGCAGAGAGACCGGCAGGAACGACGAACCAAAGGACCGAGCGTCAAGAAGGAACGCAGCTGGGCAACCGAGGTGCCCTTGGGACAATCCTGGCGCCGCTAGAGGCCTCCTAGGTGGGGTCCGAGTAGATGGGGTCGGAGGATCGCGCCGCATCGCCGATACATCGGCGACGCATCGGCGACGCATCGGCGACATCGACGTGGGGAAACACAGTCTCCGCATCGAGCTGCATCGTCGATGTATCGGCGATGCGGCGCGATCCTCCGACCCCATCTGCTCCGACTCCGTGAAGGAGGCCTAGAGGCACCGCGCTCAGACGTGAAACGCGTCCGCTGGGGGGGAGCGCATCCCTGCGCACCGCACGGGTACACGCCGGTCGGAAGAGGTAGGTAGAAACATGAAGTAGTAAGGCGGATCAAGTAGGTTGGGCTCGGGCCCGTCCAAAGAATAACACACAACAGCCAGATCAGATCTACTCTTGAAATAGAGAGGCGCTTGAAGCAGACTGGGTCCTGGGGGCCCAGGAACACCTACTTTCAACGACCGCTGGGTACACGTGCGGAAGGTGTGTGCGACGCCTCGCGCGCGCGCGCTCCATCGGGGCGCGGTGGCCCGCTGTCCGCCCACACCGCGAGCGCACAGCGCCCCGCGCACCGGGGGGCTCACGCTGCACGCCCTCCCCCCGGCGGCTGCGCGTGCCTCGCGCAGGCCCGGCAGATGGCAAACCCGCATGGTAGTGATGCAGCCGAGCAAGCTTTTTACAGTGGTCGATCAAAGGAGGGGGCGAGGAAGAAGCGGAGATGGCATGCTGCAGGGCGGGGGAGGCGGAGGCGGAAAGTATCGGAGGGGCACCAGACCTCAAGCAATCAGGTGTGTTCCATGCGTGGGGCTTTCGGAACTGTGGGTGCCGATTTCGCCACCCGTCTTCGCACCGTATGTTCTCTATGTCTCAGGGCCCCCCAAAAGGGCTTCCGTTCTGGGAAAGACGGTCTGCCTGGCTGCAATCTGGTCGTATTGGGCTCGACGCGGGGCCGTTAACAGTCACTGGCTACGAGATAGGTGCTGCTGCCCCTATTATGAGCTGATGAGTTGGTGAGGGGGGAGGAGAGGAGAATATGACGAGGAGGGAGGAGCAGGAGCAGGAGAGAAGAAGAGGGAGGAGCAGGAGGAGGCAACGCAAAGCAAAGAGCTGTCGGACAAATTCTCCCTGAGCTACGAGACGGAATACAAGCTTGGATCTAAGTGGCTATGCAAGCGACTTCCCACTGCGAGGGGAGCCCTGTAGGCGGCAGGAGGAGGGAGGAGGACGGGGGGGGGGAGGGAGGAGGGAGGGAGCATGGAGGGAGGGAGAAGGGAGAAGGAGGGAGGGAGCAGGGAGGGGGGGAGGTAGGGAGAGAGGAGGGAGGAGGAAGGAGGGATTATGGCATCCTGATTTTGTTCGGCCGAGCGCGATGCGCCGCGTCCCCGAGAGGGCCGGCAAGGGCTCCGGCTCCTGCACCCAAGCTCAGCGCCGCACGGTCAGCCGCACAGCGCCGCCCTCTCGTCCGAGACCGTGGAGGAGGACGCGAACTACAGTCAACCCGTGTCATGAGGATGCGCGGTGGGGGATGCAAGGACCTTGGAGGCCCAGGCTGACGCTTTTTCGAGCGAGGCTGGCCAGGCAAAGTCGATGAGGAGGGGCCGAAGGGGGCAAGGACGCAGAGGAGGGGCCCGTGGGGGAAGGTTTCCCATCCTTCCCATGCGGGTTGACTGTATCCACCTGCGCCATTCCTGGCCAGGCCTGGGTCGGGCCTGTCCCCCTACGGGCGGACGGGCGGATTGTGAGCGAAAATTAAGGATAATCGAGACATGCCCCAAATATACTGGAAGATACGCGCAAGAAAATAGTCCCCCGACGACATATAAAAACGAACCATCTTTGAATTTTCTATTCCTCCCTAGGGACCGGCCCGACTCGTAAGGCCAGGCACGCAGGTCTGCACCAGGCCCGGCCAGGCTCGGTGGCGGTGGGGCTCGTCGGAGGTCCGAGGCCCGTGCCTCGACGGCGCCGCCGAGGGCGGGGGGGCCCCCCGGCGGAGTGCGGCGGTGCCGGCCGTGGTGGTGACGGCGGGCCGCCCACGAGGGGCGAGCAGGAAGGGGTTCCGTGTCTGCAGGGGCCCCGGGGCACACAGAGGAACAGACACAGGGAGCAGGATTCCCAGGCTTTTCAGGATTCCCAGTCTTTTCCCGTACTTTCTGGGTTTCTGTCTTCCCCCACGCTGCCCACATTTTCCACATCTTCGGGGGAATCGACGATTCATGGTGTCCGTGTGTTTTTTCCCTCCCGAAGGTCAGCGTGGCCGACACAGTTTCTGACTTTGGCCCGCACGCACGCCAAGTCGATGAGGACCTCGGGCTCCACTCGGCGGCGAGCGAGGGGGGGAGGTGAGCAAGAGAAGGCCTTCTCAGAAGGCGCCTGGGCTTCTCAGAAGCGCTCTCGCCTTCCGAGAAGCTTCCTGCGTCTGCGGGGAAGGCCTCGAACACTTCTCAGAGGGCCGGGGGACTTCCAAGCCTTCTGAGAAGGCCCGCCCCCTCTCACTCCCCCCGGGCTCGCCGCCAAGCCACAAGCACAGATTTACAGCGCAGCGCCTGTACTTTCAGGCTCTGCCGTTGGCCCGAGTACACATACAGTGGAGGCCCGACCACAAGAAACCTCCTACAAGAAACCAAACCCTGAGGTACCAGGACGTCCATGGTTTTGGTGTGGGAACGTCGCGCTTCCCGTCGCAAAACCATCGACACCCAAGACACCCGGGGCACCCTGGAGGCAAGCAGGGTGTCTCTTGGCATGGGCCTCCACTGCACCGCCGCCACCGAGGGTGGCGGCCACCCCCCCTCGGTGGAGGAGGCCCCCGATCTCGGCGGCGGTGCCAGCGTAGGGGCCTCCGACGGCCCCGACATCCGACGTCGTGAAAAATCACGCCCTTCACGCTGGGCCATTCGAGCCAGGACAGCCACTGGGGGGTGGAGGGGCGGGGCGGGGCCCCAACTGGCATGGAGGACAGGGAACGCGCCCCAGATCCCAGGGGCTTCTTTCCCCCAGACCAGTTCTTCCTCACGAGCCGAGTCGTTGTCTTCTGACGGCCCATGGGTTCCGGGAATAGGCCACGAGAGCCCGAGAACGGCGGACTCCCCCAGGCCCCCTCCCACTCAGGACCCCGTAGCTCCTGGTGGCACAGACGGGGCGAAAAGGCCCGCCTTGATTTTCACACGACGCGCCAGATGCCAGGGTAAGAGGAGGAGGAGGAGGAGGGGGAGGGGAGGGAGCGCCCAGTGGAGGTGCCCAACTCAGGCTTGGCCGTTCTGCTCGGCCCTCGGCCCTCTTCCAGGACTTGCGCGGAGAGGGGCACGAAGTCCAACCATATCCATCCTGGGGCGCGCACGCACACGCAAACACGCATACACACAACCACGCACGCACTCTCACGCACACTCACGCACGCACGCACGCACGCACGCACGCACACACGCGCACGCGCACGCGCACGCGCACGCACACGCACACGCACACGCACACGCACACGCACACGCACACGCACACGCACGCACACACACACGCACACACACACACACACACGCGCACACACACAGACACACACACACAGACACACACGCACGCACGCACGCACACACAGACAAACACAGACACACACAGACACACACAGACACACACACACAGACACACACAGACACACACACAGACACACACACAGACACACACAGACACACACACACACACAGACACACACACACAGACACACAGACACACGCACATACAGACGCTCTCTCTCTCTCTCTCACACATGGTCCTACTCCTCGTTCCTACTGGCCTTCTGTCACGCTCCCTTTCCTCCTCCTCCTCCTCCTCCTCCTGCTGATCCCCCCCTCATTGCTCCTGCGTCCTTCCTCCTCCTCCTCCTCCTCCACTTCCTGATTCCTGATTGCTCAATCAACTGATTCCCCCTGCCTGACGCTTTCCTCCCCCTCCTCTGGCATGCTCCATTTCTCCTCCGACCCTCCTGGGATGCAGCACGTGCACCGTGCGACAGCCGTCTCGTCTCGTTGTTGTCTGCCAGCTTGAACGTAGTGGGCCTCCAGGAAGGACAATGAGGAGGCGAAGAGCGAGGATGAGAATGAGGAGCGATGGTAAGAAGAGGAGGAGGGGGTTAAAAAGGAGGAAAGACGGAACGATGAGGACGACTCTGAAGCGAGCAAGAGGGGGGCATGGTTAGTGTGTGTGTGTGTATGTGTGTGTGTGCGCGTGCGTGTGGGTGGGGTGGGGGCAAGTGGCAATCTTCTAAGAAAATCACTCCGCAACTTCAAACGTGCGAGAAACACTACCTTTCTTTCCTATTCCCAAAACGATGCAATATGTCCCCTTTTGATAGCCGGCTCAGGGGCGAGAAACCGTGTGAGATCCCTCATTCAAACCAATCGCTGACGCATCTTCGAATACTATCCAGTGCCCTGTTTGGACGGCTTCCACAATAGTTGCTGCTGTGAACCACCTCAGGCAAACTTGGCCCGACCGCAAAACAACGAATGATACGTGCAGGTCCTTAATTATTGGAAAAAACCAGGTCGGGCAAGAACGGGAAACGACGATTTTGGCCTATGGGATCGTATTAGGAAAGAAAGACAGGATGACGGCGACGACACGGCGGCGGATGTCGAGGACGACAGTGTGGATGACGGGGAGATCAGCGAGGGAAGCAGGAGGACACTGAGTAGGACAAACAAACGCGAGGACGAGGAGGAGGAGGAGGAGGAGGAGGAGGAGGAGGAGGAGGAGAAAAACAAAAAGGACCACGACGACGAAGGAGGACGGTAAGGGACCCGACGAAAAGGACGTCGAAGATGGGGGGAATCCTTGCGATCATTCGAGATACCCAGGATGCTGTTGGGACATCCTGGGGGCCTCTCGGGGTCCTCTCGGGAGCTACTGCTGGGGTTCTTGTTGGGCTGCCTGGGCGTGGCTTGGGATTCTTTGGGGTCTCTCCCAGGCCGTCTTGGCGCCATCTTGGGGGTCCTGGGCCGTCTGGGGGCCGCCTGGGGGCTCTCTTGGGGGCCTTTTGGGGCCGTCAGTGGGTCTTCCGGGGGGGCATTCTGGAGCTCGTTTGGGCCATGGTGGGCCCCCCCAAGAGCGATTCCAAGACGGCGTTGGCTCAGAGACCCGTCTGAAGCCATTTGTGTCCGATGCCCCGGGCGACACGGCCATCTTTCAGAAACCTGGCCGGGGGCAAGAACGGGAAGCGTCGCACTCGTCCGCGAATCTTGTCAGAGAATCGGAAGAAACGCACGAACGACCAACATAACTGCTGTCGGTTCATTGCGTTGGTTTGCCGTGCTCCTGTGGTCTACCGTGCTCCTGTGGTCTGGCGTGCTGGTCTGCCATGCTGCCGTGATCTGCCGTGCTGGTCTGTCGTGCTCCTGTGGCCTGCCGTGCTGGTCTGCCATGTTCCTGTTGCTTGCCCCATGTTCTTGTGGTTTGCTGGGCTGCTGTGGACTGCCGTGCTGGTCTGCCGTGCTGATGTGGTCTGCTGTGCTGGCCTGCCGTCCTGTTGTGGTCTGCCGTTCTGCCTGGAGAAAAAAAGAAAGAAAGGCGGGCCCCTGTGGGCCGCGCCCCAGGTGCGGTCTGCCGTGCTGGCCTGCCGTGCTGCTGTGATCTGCCACGCTGAAATGGAACGGGATGGAATACGGCGAACGAGATAGAGAGAGAGAGAGAGCGAGAGAGAAAGAGAGGGAGCGAGAGCGAGCGAGATAGAGCACGTTAGCTTTCCAAGCCGCACCTCTCTTTGGGGTCAGCGCCTTGCTGCGCTCCCCAGGGCCTTCGGGGGCAGCCCGCCTGCCTTGAGGGTCTGCGCCCTCGTCACCTTCCGGGCCCATGGTGGCCACCCGAAGCCTTGCACGAAGGCAACAGGTTGATCCCCTTCTCGCTCCTCGTGCCCAGCTCAGCCTCCTCCACCTCGGCATTTGCTTCGCACATGATTCTCCTCCGCCCCCCGCCTCTCCCTGACCTCGTCCACGCCCACGTTCTCCTCGTTCTCCCGATCCTCCTCCTCCTCCTCCTCCTCCACCTCCTCCTCCTCCTCCTCGCCCGTCCTACCCTTTCCTCCTCCTGCACCCTCTTCCTCCTCCTCCTCCTCCTCCTCCTCCTGCCCCTTTGCCTACACCTCCGCCGCCTCCACCTCTTCACTGGATCCTCCTCATGCTCCTCTTCCTCACTGGCTTCCCCTCCTCCTCCTGCTCCTCCTCCTGCTCCTGCTCCTGCTCCTGCTCCTGCTCCTGCTCCTGCTCCTCCTCCTGCTCCTCCTCCTCCTCCTCTTCCTGTTCCTCCTCCTCCTCCTCCTCATCCTCCTGTTCCTCCCAGGATATCCCTCTCCTCCTTCCCCTATTCCTCCTCCCTGTTCCTTGCTGTCTCCCTCCCCCTCCCTCAACCTGTTCCTCCTCGCTTGCTCCTCTGCCTACGTACTCCTCCTCCTCCTCCTTCTCCTCCTTCTCCTCCTCCTCCTTCTCCTCCTCCTTCCCTTTCTTTTACTCCTTCTCCTCCTCCTCCTCCTCCTCCTCTTCCTTCTCGTCCTTCTCCTCCTCCACCTTGTATCCCCATGTTCCTTCCCCTCCCTCCACTTCCCTATCCTTCACCTCCGCCTCCCGTTCCTCCCTCCTCCCTGCCCGTGCCCCCACCAGCGAGAGGAGCGCATGTGGGCCTCGACCGACCAGCTGGCGCTTGCCAGCGCCCGCGATAGCGGGGCGGCCAGGCGGCAGCTCACCTCGCCCATGCTTCCCTCTCGTCATCGTCGTCGCCGTCGCCCCCCCTCATCCTTCGCCTCTTCCTCCTCACCTCTCACCCTCTCTCGCAGAATGGCCTCGCGTCAAACATGGCCCCCATCTGCACTCACTCGATCTGCGTACTACTCTCCTCTCAACCCCGAAGGCGTCCAATGGGCCACGCGCTCTCTCCGTACATGCGCGCTTCGCGGAATGGCCACTCCGCGAAGCGCGCATGTACGGAGAGGGCACAGCGAAGGCAACAGCGCTTCCCACTCCCCCTTATGTACTCCTCCTCGATCTTCACCCGCTGCCCTCCCCCCTCCTCTTCTCATCGTCTCCCCCTCTCCTCCTCTCCTCCGTCTCCTCCGTCTCCTCTTCTCCTCCTCCTCCTCCTCCTCCTCACCTCCTTCCCCCTCCTTTCTCATCCTCCCTCAGTATTCCTCTTCCCTCCTCCTCCTCCTCCTCCTCCTCCTCCTCCTCCTCCTCCTCCTCCTCCTCCCTCTTGCCCCCTTGTCCTCATCCTCCCTTCCCTCGGTCCTTCCTCCTCTGATTCCTTCTCCTGCTCCTCCTCCACTCTTTTCCATCCCCCTCCCCCTCCTCATTCATCTCACATCTGCGCCCCTGTCTGCTTCTCCTCCTCCTCGTCTCTCGTCCTCCCTTCCGCCTCCTCCTCCTCCGCCTCCTCCAGCTCCTCTCCTCCTCCTCCTCCTCCGCACCCCCGCCCTCCACCTCCTCCCCTCCTCCTCCTCCTCGTTCTCCTCCTCCTCCTCCTCGTTCTCCTCCTCCTCCTCCTCCTCCTCCTCGCCTCCTCCTCCTACCCCCTCTCCTCCACTCCCCATCTGTCTTCCGTGAGCCTCTCTCTCCTCTCCTCCTGGAGCGCCTCGCCCCTGAGCCTCGGGACCACCGCGTGCGTGAAGTAGCACGAGAACACGACGTAAGCGAGCCCGACGATGTTGAGCGCCACGATGATGGAGTACACCATCCCTTCCTTTCCCGCATCTCCTGGGCCGCCGGATCTCAGAGACTCCCGATCTATCCTCGCCCGAATGTGCCCTCGTCCGGGCCTCGTCTCAGGGATGGGCACCGGCACAGAGGCGCCGCCCGCCGAGCAGGCGGCGGAGAGCCCGCCGTGAGCTGGGGCCGTGGGCCGGGGGGACAATACGCTTGAGGGGAGGGACGACGGAATTCACAGGAAGTTCTGGAGGTCCCAGAAACGGACTTAACACAAAACTTCGGAATTAGAGGAAGGACAACGGAATTAACAGAAAAACAATAATTAACGGAAAGCGGATTTGATGGGTCTGAGCCGTGCCCCCCCCCCTCCCAGGCGCGCGGAGCGCGCCAGGGGCGGCGCCGCCGGGCGGGCCCAGCGCGGATCCGAGAAACCCGCGCGGAGCGCCAAAAGTATATGTTTATGGCATCTTGTCTTCTTCGACGTTTCCCGAGTCTCCTGAGTCTGGACACAATTCACGCAAGGGTGACGCTCTGCACGTGCCGGCTGCTGGCCCCCCAGCGAGCATCGCGAGGGCGGCGGCGGCGAAGCACAGCGCTGTGGCAAGGGAGATGCCCTGGTAGCTGTTCCAGGCCGCCACGAGGCAGCTGCCGTCGCGGTACTCGTACCAATCCTGCGCTGCCGCCTCCAAGGCCTGGGTGGGGACTGCCGTCCTATCGTGAAAAGCCTAACGACTTCTGCCGTCCTTCGACTCGCGCCAGAGCGGCCGGAATTTGCTCCAACTGTCCCTGAAGGTCCATGGATTTACCTGGATCTCCCCGGATCTACCTGGATTTACCTCGAAGTATCTGCATCTGCTTGGGTTTACCTGCATTTGCCCCCGGATTCAGCTGGCTCGATCCCCACAAAGTCGATGGGTGGAAAGTCGTCGAGCGCTTCGGCATCCTGGGCCACTGCGCGTGCTCGCCGCGGCTCATCGGCACGTCCACGTGCACGCGGCCCAGGGGCAGGTGCGCAGTCACGGCTGGGCCCATGCCGCCAACACGCGCAGCCGAGCGCGCTGTCGCAGACGAGACGCTGCGAGCCCAAATCGCTGTATCCTTGATAACTGGATGGCCACGAGGGCTCATCATCATCATCATCATCATCATCATCATCAGCAGCAGCAGCAGCATCAGCAGCAGCATCAGCATCAACATCATCATCATCATCAACATCATCACCATCACCATCACCATCACCATCACCATCACCATCATCATCATCATCATCAGCATCAGCATCATCATCATCATCATCATCACCATCACCACCGTCATAATCATCATTACCATCATCAACATCATCATCATCACCATTATCATCAACATCATCATCAACAAAGGGAATGGTGGATCATGCTCACAGCCAAATATGATGATGACGGCTCTCGCGAAGCCAGGCCCTCAGGCGAAGAATCTTACAGTCCTTGCTGTCAGGCGTCCGCGTTGCCCAAAGCCGTTCCTCTTTTCCTCCTCCTGCTGCTGCTGCTCCTCATCCTGCCCTGGGGCTTCGGTCAGACGGGGTTTCGTACCGAATGCGTGTTCTCTGAGTAACCTGAACACATTAGTTGTAGATGGGGACAGAAAGGTTTGGCTGTGCCATGGTAGGTCTGAGAGCCAGTACCTGCACACAACCACAAGCCCTTGCCAGGCGCGTACTGTGCCTCGGACTGGTGTGCGGCAAGGTACTGCATTCACAGTGTAGGCTTAGATCAGGCGTGTCATCCTACAGGCAGATGTTGAAGGAGAAATGACAATACTCGAAAATCGTCCTCAGACTATCTTTACTATGTTTGAATATTCCCCCTGTAGAGGGACACGCCCGACTTAGGCGTAGACTGTGGATTCTGTCTCTACACGTCTTGGGGCTCCGACTGTTCGAAACCAACGCACGCGGGATGCAGTGGCGCGTGCAGCATTGTCATGAAGCCGACCGTGGACAATTAACACAGGACGTGTGGACCCACAACGGGACAGCGAGGAGTTGGGCAGGCGCCGAGACGAGAGCGGCACCCGGATGGGCCCGAGCGACCTGCTGGAAAAGACACGCGGACGGCGTAGAAAGCTATGCGTGGGAGTGGCCTGTTGCCAAAGTCTCCCCACGCCCAAGGCGGCCCCGAGAGGCCCCCGAGAGGGCCCCCAGGACTGGCCAACGGAGGGCCCGCAAGACGGACCGAGCGGTCCTCAAAGTTGGCCCCCCGAAGTGCCCCGAGAGCCCCCCGAGCCCCCCTCGGAGCGGCCCGCAGACGGCCTCCTCCGAGGGCGCCCCATGAGCCAACGACGGCCCCGAGAGGCCTCCATTGCGAGGCCAGGAGGCCGCAGGAGGACCCAGGAGGCCAGGAGGGCCTCAGGAGGGCCCCAGGATGCCCCCTGTAAGTCTCCTCCTGCTTCTCGTCTCGGTCTTCCTCCTCATCCCACTCCCGCTGCTCCTCCGCTCCTCCTCTCCAACTTCCTCCCCAAAATGTTGCCCCAAGGTTATCCTCAACGCCTGCGGGAACACGTGCTCTCACAACTTGACAAGACTTTGGCCCAACGCTTTGCCACACAAGTGTTTCGAGAAGAGCAGCGGCGCTGATTCACTGTAGGAGTCTTCGATCCGCCCTGCCCTGTGATTGCTACAAGGGTGCTTGGCGCGCCAAGTTCCACACAATATCCTCTGGACATTCCAGACACAATGTTCCTGGTGCTCTTCTGCCCGATCCGATGGTCACCCAGATTCCCCACAAAGGATGGTGTTTAACGGCTGTTCCGTCGAAGATGGTTCCAAGAGAGCCTCCGAGAGGGCTCTGAGCGCCACAAAGTCGGCCAAAAATGGCCCAAGTGGTTTCACCGATTGAGAAATCTAGCTCCAGGAGGGCCGACTGTGCCTACAAGACGACCCAGCATTGCCTTCAGAGGCCCCCGGGGAGGGCCTCAAGGGCAACACGAACAGTGATTTTCTGCGTTGTCGCCTGCTCGGGCCTCTGTAAGCCCAGACAGGGTCCAACATACAGTCGGGCCGCTGACCCAAGGAACGATGAATAAGGAACGAAGACCCTTTTTTTCCAAATCAATCCATGAAATCCGAAGGAACACCGGGTGGGCTCGCCGCTAAAAAAAACGGAACTCACGCAAACCTAAGGAACGACGGAGCCCTTTTTGAAAAGTAAGTGTTCCTTATTCTGCGGCCCGACTGTAATCCCGATCTTGCCCAAAGACGGCACGAGGAGGCCTCAAAGATGGCCTCCGAAGGCGCCCCTCGCCAGTGCTCCGCGGATGGTCTCCCCCCCCCCCGGCAGGAGGAGCATGCGATCTACTGCTGCAGCCACACGTTCACTCGACGCGCCACGGCACACGCGCTTCCCAGACGCAGAGGGCGGTGGCGCCTCACAGCGGGCGCCCTCGGTAATTATGGAGAGGAGGGCAAGCAGGAGTAATAAAGAGGAGGAGGGACGGAGAGGGCAAGCAGAACGAAAGCTGAAGAGAAGGAGGGATGAAGAGGAAGAGAGATGAAGAGGAGGAAGAGGAGGCGGAGGAGGAGGAGGAGGATGAGGAGTTGAGGTGATGAAGAGGATGAGGGCAAGCAGAGGGAGTAATGAAGAGTAGAAGGGCGGCAGAAGGACGGCAGGAAGATGAGCGCAGGGATGAGAGGGGGCAGGAGGGAAGAGAAACAGGAAGGCGAGGAGGCAAAGGGAGCAGGAGGACGAGGGTAGGACAGGGTGGGGGGGGGATAACGAGGATGCGGCCTGAAAGGAGTATCGCGAGGGGCAGAAAGAAAAAAAAACAGCAGAGGGCGGAGTAGAAGGAGATGGTCAGGAGGACGATATTGACCAGGAGAAGCGGGAGCAGGAGGACAAGAAAACTCATCCAATACAGACGGGAAGAAGAGAAAGGCGACGAAGACGACGATGACGAAGTTGACGACCTCGACACCGACAACGAATGATGTCGACGAGAGACAGCAGGAAACAGAGAGACAGGATCCCGAGCCTTCTGCAATGCTGGCTCGAGAGCTGCCAGGTGCTCTTGCCCCGAAGCCGTGCCCTCGTCCCAGGCGCCTTCCCTGGCGGGGACGACGACGGCAACGACTACGGTGACGACGTCGAAGAGGGGGAGGGAGGAGGGGTGGAGGAATGAGAAAGGAGGAAGAGGGGAACAGTAATGGGGGAGGGAACGAGGGAGGCAGGAAGGAGGGAGGGGGGGGGAACGAGAAGCTGGGTGCACTCGCGCCACACCTGACGTCCTACCCCTCCCTGAATCCCTGTTCGCAAAATTGAATGTCGGGACAATATGTGATACGCACGGTCTTTTCCGACCCCCGACTTTACACACGCAAAGGTATGGCACGCAGTAGCCACCCCTGGGGCGGCACAGCACACATGCGGAAGCAAGTGGCGGTCAACGCCGCGGCCAGAGCACTGTTCCGTTGAACGGGAGCTCCATGGAAATCACTGTGGCACTTGCTGCATGGAGGGTGCGCCGTTTTTACGGATGCATGGCTACGGTCGGCGCTGCGGCGAGAGCACCGCTCCATCGGACATCAACGTAACTGCACACGTGTGAAACCCCCACAGCGGGATCCTCACTCTCACCGCCCCGGGATCACGATCCCCGCTTGACGGCGGCCCCCTGGTGAGCGTGAGATGCGATCGCCGCACCAGCAGGGGCAACACTGCTCAAATGCAACATTAGGTCGGGTGTGTCCCCCTACAGGCGGATTTTGGACGACAAATACAAACAGTCGTACGATAATATATATATATATATATATATATATATCTATATATATATATATTATTTGTAAGGAAAATTTGCCAACAAAAATACTGAAACATCGTTTCCAGACCATTTTTGACTATTATTTTGAACACTCCTCCTGTAGAGGGACGGGCCCGACTCAAGTGCAACAGCGCACCTCCTGATAAACGTGCCCCTTCCTTTGAGCAGGGACCGACCGTCCCGGCATTTCTATAGTCCTACCACGAAGCGTTCTTAGAACCCAAAGATGTTCTAATAACAAAACCAATGTTCTTAGAACATTAACCGGTGTGATAAAACAAGACAGTCCCAACCAGAAAGTGTCTAAGAACATTTCGTGGGAACCACAAAAGGTTCTTAGAACATTGTTTGGTAGGACTATAGGTACGCCAGGACGCGTCGCTACTGCTTGATAGGTCGGGCGTGTCCCCCTACAGGTTGTCAGACTGTTTCTGAATAGTCCTCCTGTAGAGGGACAGGCCCCGCTCAAGCCTACCACGCGCTGCAGATTTACGCAGGCGTGCTGCAGAGCGCGAGTACGACCCTCGTCTGCCGAGGCGACTGTGCAGCCCGGCCGCGGCCCCGCTCCGAGGGAGGGCGGGCTCGGCGGCCCTGGGCCGCCCCCTGCGGACGTGATCAGGGAGGAGGGTGGCCGCAGGCAGGGCGCCGTGAGGAGAAAGCGGGGGGCCCTCGAGTGGAAGGGCGCACTGAGACCGCGTGCGCCATATCTTATCCGAGCATGCACGGCCAACATCTTGCTACCTATATGTATATGTATGTAGATATTATATATACATTATATTTACACACACACACACTCGTCTGCGCCCTGGGCACATATTGGACCCCTCCTTGCGTCAAGCTAGGGTGGACACACCCCTGCTGGGGTCCTGGCGAGATCCCTCCACCCCAACTACAAGTGCGCCAACAGCGTCAAGATACAGTACCGGTATCGACAAGGCAATTGCGCTGGCGACGGTGAAGATCTCCCTGCCACTCACTTTCTCACCCCTCCGCTGTCCCCTCTTCCTGCTGCTACTCTTACTCCTCATCCTCGCCGACCTCCTCCTGTACTCCCCTCCTCATTCTCCTCCTCCTCCTCCTCCTCCTCCTCCCTATCCTCCTCCCTATCCTCCTCCCTATCCTCCTCCCTATCCTCCTCCCTATCCTCCTCCCTATCCTCCTCCTATCGGCCACGGTCCCTCCCTCCTGCATTGCTTCGTCCTGCGACTCGCTATTCCGAAGCTGTCGTCGCAAATCCCTCCCCACGGCCCCATCGCTCCAGCACTATACGTGCACGGCCGAAACGATCATTCCGGACCCATTTTCTGATCGAGGGCAAGCGGGTACTCCGTGACCCACGCCACGCTCACAGCCGTGGAATACGTTGCCTCGCCCGCTGAAGAAAAACAACATGTGCAGCTGCCTTGGGCAGCCGTGACAGCAGGAGAAGGACCTCCTCCCCCTCCTCTTCTTCGTCCTCCTCCTCATCCAAACTCCTCCTCCTCCTCCTTCTCCTCCTCCTCCTCCACCTCCTCCCTTCCTCCCTCCCTACGCGCAGGCATCAGTGTGCGGCGAAGGCTTTCGGAACAGCCAACATGGAGGTAGCTGTACAACTTTACGTGCCTGGCCGGAGGTGTGGTGACGTCTCCCCGGCCGGCGTCGTGGCGACGTCAGATTTGTTCGTTTTCTTTTGTGATATATGACCCTCACGCTCACCTGCTGGTGATTTTGGGTGTACCGGCCTATCCGCGCGACAGAGGCCATGCAGCTTTGGATCGTTGTGAATGCTGTCGCAGCGGTGAGTGGGGCACCGACTCCGTGACATTTCACGGCCGCGGCACGTGCAGTTTCTATGACACTGCTCGCTCATACTGCACAGCTCCTTTCCTGGTTAGCGCATTGGGCTATCACACGTCGGCCTGACGTTAACTTCTGCTTCGCAGTCGAGCAGCGGCGCTCTTCCAGGTTTGGGTTTCGAGAGCATGCACCCGCATTCCTGATGGCTGATGGCATCGCTCAAGTACGCGACGCGCCGAGTCCGTGACATCTCAAGCCGTGGCGCCTCAATGGTCATTTTTGGATGTACCGGCCTATCCGCGACGAACGGCCTCCGCGACATTCGTTCGTGTCCTCCAGGGCACTGTTCACAATGAGGCTGACGTTGCTCATGACATCGAAGGCTCCGGCAGAGCTGATGTACCACTGGATTTCCTAAACAAGATATTGCAAGTTCCCCCTGCAGGGTTTCTGAAGCAGTCGTTGGTGCATTTTGTCTGCACCAATGCGGCGGTTCTGGTTGTCGACTATGCCAAACAATGTGATGATCCTCCATTGGTGGTGACCTGCCAGATAATGAGCCGGACCAGCCTGCACGCATGATGGCGATGCGCTTTGCTGTACTTCTTCCCTGCTTCTCCCTCCTCCCTTCTCCTCCTCCGCTGCTGGTTTCTGCCTCCCTCTCGCAGTCAGTTATTTGCTTCGCTTCAGAGGCTCACGCCTTTCCGTCGCCGCCCCTGCTCCTGGTCTGTGCCGGGCGGGCCTGGTGCCCCATGGCAAGCTCGGGCTCAGGGCTGGGTACCCCTCCTCGCACTGAGGGGATGGCGTGCGGAATAAGAGTTACGTTGCCCCTGGCTCACGGGGTGTGAGCCGTTCCCCCATCACGGCACGAGGACCGCCTCAATGCCCGATCCGACGACCCTCCCTCCCTCCCTCCCCTTACGGGCCCTGTGGCTCGGGCCCTTCCTCTCCCCCTATCGGGTCTCTGCGGTCTCTGCCCGCCCGAGTGCGTGCCCCTCTCCCCGCGCCGCGGCCCCCCCATCGAGAACGACGCTGGCGCTGTGGAAGTCGATTGACGGAGAGGAAGCATGCTGCCAAATGATTTCCAGGTGTCTAAAGCATGGTTCAGACATGCTTTGACATATGTTAAAAAAAAAACACCGCATGTTTGAAACATGCTTAGAACATGCTTTACACTGTTTAAACACATCTTTAATTCAATGACGGGATTGTTAGAGTGTCCATTGTCATGGCATCCACAACGCTGGCGCTCGCCCTGTGTGCGCCGCCAACTGCGCGATTCCGATTCGACTCGATTCGACTTCTGATGGCTTCCGATTCGATTCGATTCGATTCGACTTCGGATTTTTTAATGGAGGCCTACCAGCCTGCCGATTTCCGCCGATTCGATGTTTCCCGACTTGGGTGCTGCTTTCCGCCGATCCGATTCATTTCGATCGCCGATCCGGCTTATCGATTTGATTTTGGGCTCGCCTGAGTCTGAGGAGGGTGTCGACGTGTACTTCTCTGACAGCTCTGACAGATGGGGTCAGTGCTTGCTCGCTGCTTCCCCCTTCCGCAGCGGCGATTATATCATTCCCCCCCTCGAGGATGTGCGATGTTCTCAGGGCTGGGGGTCCGAGGCGGGAATTTATCTATATCCACCGCCTGGAGGGTCAGTTTTCGGAGCGGCAGGCGGTGGATATGGGCATACTCGGGCCCCCGGGGGCCGAAATATATCCATATCCACCGCCCGCTGGGGCACCAAGACGTCGGTTCCCAGGCGGTAAATATGGATAAATCCCCGCCTCGCAGGGGGGTCCTGCTGGGCCTGACGTGAGTGGTGGCACAAGGAGAACCGTGATGGTTCGTCCATGCGGTTAAACAGAGGTTTCCGTGAAAGCTGGGAAGAACCAATCTCATCACGTCCCTTGTGGGCAGCCTGAAGAATCCGCAGGAGTCTTGAGGACACCTACGCGAAACGCCAGGTGTCTTAAAGGATACCCAGGAACCCTCAGGAATTCAGCTCGACTCAGGCAGGAGTCTTCAGGAATCCTTCTGGAGCCGGCACGAGTCCTGCGAGACTCTATAGGGGTCCTTTAGGGATCTTGCAGCCCCCTTTGGGAACCTTCAGGAACCCTCAGGATTATGCAGCAACTTACAGGGCCCCGAATTCTCGAAGACGCCTACGGCGAATCACCGCTGCCCCCTGTCTTTTGGAATCGCCCATGTGGCCGAGCGTTGCGGCAAGAGCTCTGATGTGTTCCCCCAACCGTTGTAGAGGCCCTTCGGGGAACACTTGGGGGAGGATGGCGGGGAAGATCAGAAGGAGGAGGAGGAGGAGGAGGAGGAGGAGGAGGAGGAGGAGGGGGAGGAGGAGGAGGAGGAGGAGGGGGCATCTTGGGAACCTCTGGGGGCACTCTTGGGGCCTCCTGGGAACTCCCTGGGGGCCTCTTGGAGGCATGTTGGGGGCCTCCTTGGGCCTCTTGGGGGCCTTTGGGGACTTCTCGGGGGCCTTCTTGGCCGTCCTGGCCCGTCGGACGTCTTCGGAAGCCGTCTTTGGGGCCTCTCTGTGCCGACTGGGCCCTCTTGGGGTGCTCCAGGGCCGCCTTGGAGGCCATTTAGGGCGTCTTGGAGGCCTCTTGGGACTGGCCTCAACTGTATGGCTTACAAGCCGAGTGGACAACAGTGGCGCTTCCCATCTTGCCCAGTCAGGCTTTGCGACGCCTCAACGTGCCAGGGGGCAGGGTCGCGGATTCACGGCCAGACGTGTTTCTCATTGGCAGTTTGGCAGCGCTCTGGATTCGGCATGGCAGTGGAGCGTTGAGCTGCTGCTTCGCGTCAAGTCTTGAAAACGCCTGAGCGAAACTTGCAAGTGGCGTTGGTAGGGAGAGTCAAAGGCTTTCCAGCAAGTGCTCAGCCACTTCACCATAGCAGGTAACATTATTCGGTTGATTCATAAGGAGAATTTCAGTGGATTCAAGAATATACATATATATATGTATATATATGTATATATACATATGTATATATATACACATATTTACACATACTTATAGATACATATGTATAGGTCGGATACCAAATTCTATCATCCATGCTAGTAGCCGTATGTTTGCCATCTTGATTACAATGGGCGTGGCCCCCTACCAGCATCTGGGCTACACTCTGATCAAGGACAATGGTCTCATGGAAGCAGGATTCTTCGAATTTGCCTGCCTACAGGTCATCTTGCCCATCCTCAGAGACCTGGTTGGATCGGCCCGATCTCGGTCAGATGCTGGAGCGCCTCGGTAATGCGATTCCAAGAAATGATCCAGTAGGCCTGGCCTCGACACGTTTCTTGAACGTGTTTGGCACGGCATTTCGATACGTAATTCGAAAGTCCGAACTTGTCACCCCAGCAGGTTCGGTCACGCGTCTCCGATGGTACTTCGATGCCGTTGCCCGTGCTTGCTGGATACAGCTTGTTGGCTATTCAATTACATGTATTCGCGTAGTGTGTGCTGTTGTGTTAAATGCTTGCTATCGATTGCTTGTTTCACACAGTCTGCTTGCGGCTACTGCTTGCCTGCCATTCCTCGCTTGCTCTCTGCTGCTGGGTTGCTGTCATCCCCTTGCCATTCTTGTTTGCTGGCTACTGCTTACTTGCGCTTGCCTGCTCGCGTCTACTTGCTCGTTATGTCATGCAGAGCCGGCGTGCTGCTTGCCTGCCGTGGCCGATCCCTCCTTGTCCCGGTGGCGCGAATCGAGCTGCTCAGCTCCTGAAGCTTGTTTCGTACGGCCTGATGCCCCCCCCCCCCCTCGCAGAGGGGAGGCCCGCGGATGTGGAGTCACGCAGATCGAGGGTCCGTCGTGCCCATCGTGGCTCGAGACAGGCTGAGGCCTCTGGGCTTCCACACGCTTGGCGGCCTGCCCGACCTGGCCCCCGACACTTCCGCGGCTGCCGGCGGGCCTGGGTGTCTAGCCTTAAGTCGGGCCTGTCCCTCTACAGGGGGAATCTTCGAAGATGGTCAAAGGGTAGTCTGGGGATGACGTTTCGACTATCTTGGTTCATCTGGGGGGCACTCTTCGAGTATTTTTTATCTGTCGCCCCGAATCCCTCCGCAGGGGGACAGGCCCGACTTCAGGCTGGCCGCCGCCCCGCGGCGAGCACGACGAGCCTGGCGCAGGGCATGGCCTGCGACCCGCCGCGGCGCGGGCCGCCCTTGCGGCAGGAGGACGGCGAGGACGGCACGGCCCGCGCTTCGTCTCAGGCCTGGCTGGAGAGCCGCCTGCGCGGCCTCTGCCAGGATTCAGGCAGTGGCGAAGGGTCCTGGCTCGCCTACAGGCCCACCAACGAATGTTCTGATAACCTTTCGTGGTCTCAACGAAATGTGATTGGAACGTTTCTGGCTGGGACTGTCCTGCTGTGGTCACATCGGGATCATGTTCTAAGAATATTGTTCTTGTCATCAGAACATTTTTGGGTTACAATAAAATTTCATGGTGGGCCTATAGGAATGCCAGGACGGTCGGTCCCTGCTCAAAGGATGACTTCGGAGGAGGTCTCCGCATCTTCAGCAGCAGCGACCTGGAGGCCCCTGAGGCCTTCCGCGACGTGTGGCGCTCGAAGAAGAACAAACCACACACACAAGCGTAAACTTTGTGCTCTCGGCGCGGATTTCTTGGATCCGCGCGGCCCCCCCCCCCCCGGCGGCGCCTCTGGTGCCGCCCCTGGCGCGCTCCGCGCGCCAGAGAGGGGGTTCCGGCGCGGATCCAAGAAATCCGCGCGGACCTCCAAATGTTTATGTTTACGTTGCTTGTCCTTCCTCTAGGCACGTGATTTCCAGAGGAGATGTCAGCAATGGTGCGCCACTGAGCAGCGATGAGGATTCGGCCAGGCTGCAAACGATCCTGGTGTTCTGCAACCCGAACCAGGTCAGCGATGTCCAGAGGCTCTGCGACGTCATCACGAACATCGACGTGACAAGCAGCGACGCCCCGCCGATGTTCTTGGTGCCCCACTCCGTGGCGCCCGACAAGCGGGGCCGCACGGACGTCATGAGGGCAGACCAGGTGAACGACATCCTGACTAGGGGCTTGGACGGCATCGTGAGCGGCGAGCCCGAGGGGCTGCGGCTCGCCATGGCCGTGCGCATGAAGATCTGTAAGTCGGCGAACATCCCGCGGAAGCTGAACGCCATGCTCACGGAGGCGCGCAATCGGGGACAGCACGGGCAGTACATGCAGCGCTGCGCGCACGCGACCCTGTGGGACTACGTGAGGGCTCGCCTGGCGCCCGACATCCCGGCGGTGGACCACACCCTCGCGCCCGGAGACCCGCAGCAGGTTCCTGGGTACATCGTCGGGAACAAGCTCGGGCAGGGGACGTTCGGGGCCGTCTACAAGCTGACGGAGAGGCCGGAGACGGGAAGCAGCGTCGAGGTTGTCAAGGCAGTGCCCACCGAGGGCATCACGCGGATCGAAGACCTCATGCACATGAACAGAATGATCCGCGTGATGAACATGCTGAGCGATGAGCAGAGGCGGCACCCGAACATCATCCGCCTACACCGCACCTACCACACGCCGACGCACATTCTTTTCCGGATGGAGTACGGGGGCCCAGAGAACTTGTACAAGCGCCTGCGCGACCGCCAGGCACAGCAGGCGGAGGATGCGCGGCCACTGTCCCTCGACAAGGTCGCGACGATCATCACCCAGGCCGTCGACGTGGTGTGGCACCTGCACGCGGTGGTGCACGTCTGCCATCGCGACATAAGGCCAAAGAAGATCATGGTGAACCAGACGCCGGAGTCCATCACGATCAAGTTCACAGACTTCGACCTCGCTGTCTCCTTTGAGGACGAGGGCAAGATGTTAAACAGCCCCTGCGGGACCCTGCCCTTCGTCGCCCCCGAGATGCTGCTGGACAGCCCCTACGACGGTTGCCTGGCGGACATCTGGAGCCTCGGCGTGGTGTTCGCGGAGGTGCTCTGCGGGGTGCGCGTGGTGGAGCTCGCGATCGAGCACGCGGGGCTGCAGGTGCGGCCCCTGGGCGTCAACACCGCGCTCGCGGAGTGCATCCGCACCTTCTTCCGGATGCCCGCCGCGGTGGCCCGCCTGCTGGAGGAGCACTGCCGCCCAGAGCTCCGCCCCCTGCAGCCCCTCGGCGGCGCGGTGCTCGCGGGGACGCTGACGGTCGACCCCGCGCAGCGGACGGACGCCGACGGCGTCCGCTCGATGGTGGAGCAGGGCCTGGCGCCACTGGCCCTGGGGCCCGCCGCGCCCGACAGGTAGCCAGCGGCCCGGCGGCCAGCGGCGTTGCGCCACCCGCGGCAGCACACGCGATGTCGCAGCAGCACGTCGGCGAGCGGCGAGGTCCACGCCGGCGTCCACCCGCGTCGCACCCGCGTGCCTCCTGCTGCCCTCCTCTCCTCCCGCGTCTCTACCCGCGCCTCCTAGCATCAGTATCGCTCAACCGACCCCCATCCCCATCCCCACCCCCTTCGAGACCCCCACCAGATTACCCCGCAGTTGGGGCTACACCCTTCGAAACCCGAAGGGAACGGCCTATATCCCCATCTAGGGGGGTAACTCGGCCAGTGGGGCCCCAGCCACGCCGCTGGGGATAAGGATCGGATAAACGATGCTTATAGCACCCGCGTCTCATCCTCCTCCCCCTCCACCTCCACCCCCTCCGTCTCACCCGCATGCACATTTTTTATCTGCGTCGGCGGCTAGGCAGAGTTTTGAAGATGTGTTTTAATTATTTTTGGGTATTTTTTATGTTTCGTCCAAAACCCCCCTGTTGGGGGACACGCCCGGCTAATCAGAGCGTCAAAAGCGTGAGAGCGTCCGCACTTTGCGGCCGTTCGTTGCGCCAGCGCTCGATGTTCGACACCGCAGGAGGTGTGCTGGGGGGGGGCGCTAGCCGCGCTCGGGTTGCAAAGCGTGGCAGTCGCGGCATTTTTCACGACACCACGTGCCGTGCGCTGGCGGTGCGGTCGCTATTTGTGCCATGCTTGCAAAGCGTGGCAGGCGTTGCACTTTCTCGATGCAGCAGGGGTTGTGCTGGTGGTAGGGTCGCTATTCACGCCAGGGTCGCAAGGCGTGGCAGGCGTGGCACTGTCTCGATACCAGAAGGGGTGCGCGGGTGTTCACAATATATGCACACAAAAGCATAAATTTAATATGTTGATTTCCTCGGTAGTGTATTCTCTTTTCGTTTGTGCAGACGTGAGGCCATCTTGGGCGTCTTGGAGGCCTCTTGGGTCGTCTTTGTGCCCTCTTGGGGCGTTCTTGGGGGCCTCTTGGGCAGTCCTGAGGCCATCTTGGAGGCCTCTTGGGCGCTGTGGGGGCGATCTTGGGCACCTCTTGGGCCGTCTTGGGTCGTCGGAAAGCCGAAAAGGAGCAAATACGAAAATCCTTCAAACACCTAAGGAAAATCAATGATTTTGGCCTCTTCGGGCCCTCCTGGAGGACCCCTCGGAGGCCTCCTGGGCCGTCTTGGAGGCCTCTTGGGCACCTCTTGGGCCGTCTTGAGCCGTCTTGGAGGTTTCTTGGGCGGACTTGGAGGCATCTCCTCCTCTCTTGGGCGGACTTGGAGGCCATCTTGGAGGCCATCTTGGCCGTCTTGGAGGTCTCTTGGGGCCCTCTTGGGGGCCTCTTGGGCCGTCATGGGGCCATCTTGGAGGCCTCTTGGCCGATCTTGGGGGCCTCTTGGGCCGTCTTGAGCCGTCGGAATGCCGAGAAGAAGCAAATCCCCAAATCCTTCAAAAACCTAAGGAATGATACCAGAGAAAAAACCCAATCAGGGCTATGGGGCTAGGGGGCTATAGGGCTATTGAGGTATAGGGCTATAGAGCTATAGGGCTATAGAGTTGTAGGGCTATTGGGCTATATGGCTTATATAGGGCGTAGGGCTATAGGGCTATAGGGCACCCCTGGGCATCCCCGGGCACGCCCCGGCACCAAGGCACCCCCGGGCACCTCCCGGGCACCCGGGCACCGGGGCACCCGGGCGTGCGGCGAAAATCGGCGGCAAACCTAACCTAACCGTATGAATCCGCTAGGACCCCTACAGAGGCAAGCTCTGATTGGGGAAAATCAATGACTTTGGCCTCTTCGGGCCTTCCTGGAGGACCTCTTGGAGGCCTCTTGGGCCGTCTTGGAGGCCTCTTGGGGGCCTTTTGGGCCGTTTTGGGCCATTTTGAGGATATCTTGGGCCGTCTTGGGTGCATCTTGGGCCGTTTTTGGAGGCATCTTGGGGCCATCTGAGCCGTCTTGGAGGCCATCTTGGCCGTCTTGGAGGCATCTTGGCCGTCTTGGAGGCCATTTTGGGGCCGTCTGGGGCAGGAGAACCGTCTGCAACCACCTCTTCCGGGTGGCCGGCGGGACGCACCGGAGCCCCAGGGGGAGTTCTTCTGGAAAGAGAACCAAATCCAATTGCCATAATCTGGCCCGCCGGGCACCCCTCTGATAAATCAGAAGGGGGCGGCGGACCCAGCCGTCTCCGGCAATGCCCGCCACCGTGCCAGCGCAGGACTGTGGGCTGCAGCTGCCCGAGAAGGCATGGGTCCTGCGGGGCCGCTTGGGGCAAAGGCCTGGTCTGATCGGAAGGCTCGGGCGTGCTGGGCACGCGAGGGTCTGATCGTATCCGGATGCCTCGTGGGGGCCTCTTGGAGAGCCCTGGCGCCATCGCGGGTCGTCTTGGGACGTCGCACGCTCGAAGAGGCGAGAGCACGAAGAGCACGCTACAAAGCCTACAGGCAATCCGTCATGTTTGCCGCTCGGGGCCCTCTTGGGGCGCCTCGAAGACCTCGTGGGCCGTCTGGAGGGCAGTCTTCTGCGAAGGGTCGTGGCGGAAAGAGGGGGTGGTGCATGCGGCCGGGCGCGTCCCGAGGGGTGGTGGCGGCCCTCAGAGAAGTACAGCAACCCCACCACATGGCACCTGGCATTCTGGCATGCCCCGACGTGCCACGGAGCACGGTGGCGGGCCGCGCGCGGAGCACGCCTGAATTGCACGCTCGCCGGCATCGCCGGTCTTTTCTGGCGGGGTATCGCCGCGAGGTGCACAGATGAATCTTCGTGCAGGTTAGATGTGCTTGCCCATGCCCGCCCTGTCTAGGATTGCCCCGCTCCTGTTCTTTGGTTTGCTCATCGTTCTCCTCCAGCAGCGTTCCGAAAAGTCCAGCAATGATTTCAGGAGCGTCCTGGACAGCGTTGCTTCCGAGGGTCCTCGTGTGGACTGCCAGCAGAGTTCCTTCTGAGGGTTGTTGTTCGAAGTCCTGGTGAATCTCACAGCTTCGAGCGATTCCACAGTGGGGCCGCGGCACCTTGTAGTAGCATTGTAAATCGGGGCTCCTCCCGGTTTGGCGACGGGAAGCTTGACGGAGCTTGGGCGTCGAGCTCAGAGCAAGAGCCGGTCGTCCTCGCGCGTGCCCGAAGGCCCCACCCCACGGCAGGGAGCGTGCTTACATTTTCAGTTTGGGCTGGCTGTGGCTACAGCCCACGCGGCGCTGGGCACTTCCCCCGGCTCCGCTCCTCCATCTATCCAGGATCGCCCCACTCGCGGTCCGCTTCGTAGGTCCTGGTGGATCTCACAGCTTCGAGCGACTCCGCAGTGGAGTGGAGCCGCAGCACGCACACCTCCTCGGTTGACGGGAAGCTTGATTACGATTGGGGTAGGGGATACCAGAACTTCCCTGTAGGTCTCCGCCAGCCCGGGTCTCACTTCCCGCAGGCGTGCTGGTTGTGGCAGGGAGGGATTCGAGCTCAGAACAAGTTCTGGGCCCCACGGCAGGGAGCCTACTTAGTTTTAAGATTGGCTGGCTGTGGCCACAGCCCACGCGGCGCTGGGCCTTCCCCCGGCGCCGCCCGCCCGTTTCCCGGGCGGTCTTGCTGCGAAGGAAGCACTGGATGACAAGTGCCCTCCCCAAGGGCCAGGTCAAGGTGCATCCCTGGACTTACCAGGGAGGCAAGGGGTGGCCGATGGAGGAGGAGGAGGAGGAGGAGGAGGAGGAGGAGGAGGAGGAGGGGGAGGAGGGCATTGCAAGTTTGCTTCAAGCATGTGTGTGTGGGTACATTATATATACAAATATAGATATGTGTGTATCTATATATGTATATATATATGTACATATGTATATATATATATATATGTGTATATGCCTGAATGTATATACATATGTATCGAATAGGCCAGGGGAAGGAACGGAACCGCGGCCACTGGTTTGCATGGCGGTCCGGGGGGCCCTGAGGGCTCCAAGAGGGTCCAAGAGGGGCCCCGGACCCCCGCAGAGGCCCCCAAGCTGGCCTAAGAGGCTCCCAAAGCGCCCCAGGTTGTCTGGAAGATGGCTGAAGAGCGCACTGAGATGGCCTCCAGACGGGCCACGAGCGCTCGAAGATGGCCCAAGATTGCTCCCTGACGGCCACAAAGGCCTTCAAGAGGGTCCAAGAGGCCGCCGAGAAGCCGCCAAATTGGCAGACATCAGGCATTTCGCATGGAAGAACGCATATTTCCGGGATGCTTGCTTTGGCCCGAGAGGCCCCCGAGAGGACGCCAAGACGGCCTGTAGAGAGCTTCAAGCACGGCCCGTGCATGATCCAGATTTTGCCACAGAGTACACTTGGTATGGGGTGTTGTCAGGGGACGTGAGCCTACGCAGACCTTGCAATGTGAGGGCCCCCCCCAGCCGCCCCCTCTGTCAAATGCAAACTGATCGCGGGGAGCCCGCGCATGAACCAGCTTCTGCCACACAATGTGTCGCGCATCGTGTGTGCACAGGGATGTCGGGCCTGCGCTGAGCGGACATGCCGAGGGCAGAGCTGCCGCCCCCGTCAAAAACTCATGCGAAGTGCTCACGGGGCGCCCGCGCATGATCCGGATGGTGCCGGCAAAGTGCAGGTTGCAGTTTGTTCTGACATAGGGCGACGGGATCTATCCATATCCACCGTCCAGGCCTGGCCCGTCCTGGGCCCGGGGGCGCCGTGTACGCCCCCCTGGCTTGGCCAGTGGCGCCTGTGCGCCATGCCTGGGCCCAGGCGGGGTCAGGCACGGGGCATTGGGCGCGCGTAGATCTCGCTGCTCCACGGCAGGGGTGGGCCTGCGCAGAGCGGGAAAACTGTGCCCCTCCCCCGCAGAATTCTCGTCCGAGCCGGTGCAGGGTGCTCACGGGGCGCGGGCGTGCGGCCTCGGGTGTTGCCGCACGGTGCGCTTCGCACTGCTCCTGGCAGGGAGGGCGGGGGGCGGGAGGCACGAGGACATGCTAGTCCCACACGTCCGCCTTGGATCATGGGCCCGTTTTCCACCACCACCATAAGAAATTGTAGGGGGGGAAGGAGGTGGAGGACGAGGAGGAGGAGGAGGAGGAGGAGGAGGACGAAGAGGAGGAGGAGGATGAGGAGGAGGATGAGGTGGGGGAGGTGGAGGAGGAGGACCCCCTCCCCCTCCAACTTGTGGTGGTGGTGGTGGTGGTGGAAAGCAGGCCCATCATTGGAGGCGTGCGTCCGACCCGAACCTATAGTATGCCCATCTTGTGGTATATCGTTTCCCAAGCGGTGTGGCCAGGAGGCGCCCGCCACGACGCATCTGCTACAAAAGTTCTCGGTGCGCGCGTCGCCCCCGGGGGTGCGACGCACACCTGGTATAGTATGCTGGGGTGACGCCGAGGGGGGGGCCCTCATTGTCCCAGGTTTGTCGCCGGTCAGGTGGGGGAGGGGGTGTACATCAAAAAGAGGGGTGACCCCGAGCAGGGGGAAGAGGGGGCTTGGAAGCGAGAAGACAGGAATTCCTTCGCCCAGAGGGCCCGCGGGATTCGACCTTCGCCCGCGCAGCCCGCGTGAAGTGCACGCTCAGCGGCGCCTGGAGGCTGTTCAGTATTGTGCTCTGTGTTGGACACAAGAAGAGTTGAGCACGATGAGAGCGGGGGCGGGCTGCGGGCGGGCGCGCGGGCGGGCGGCGAGCGGCGGGCGGGATCGGGATTTTATTTGAACTCCTGAGGGGGGTGTCTTGCAGCGGGAGTCTGTTGAGTACAGGGTGTTGTGTTGGGCGCGGAGGCTATTGAGTATTGTGTTTTGTGCTGGAGACGGAGAGAGTTGAGCACACGGAGAGCGGGGGCGAGCGGCTGGCGGGCGGGCGGCGGGCGGCAGGCGGGATCGGTATTGTACTAGGGAGGGGATTGTACTAGAACTCCGAAAGGGGGGAAGTGGGGTGTTTTGCAGCGTGAACCTGTTGAGTACAGGGTGTTGTGTTGGACACGGAGGTTGTTGAGTACATGGTGTTGTGTAGGACACGGAGGCTGTTCAGTATTGTGTTCTGTGTTGGACACAGAAAGAGATGAGCACAAGGAGAGCGGGGGCGGGCGGCGGGCGGTCGCGCGGGCGGGCGGCGGGCGGCGGGCGAGAGCGGGATTGCATTAGAACTCTTAGGGAGGGTCTCTTGCAGCGAGTCTGTTGAGTACAGGGTGTTGTGTAGGACACGGAGGCTGCTCAGTACTGTCTTCTGTGTTGGACGCAGAGAGAGTTGAGCACGATGACAGCGGGGGCGGGCGGCGGGCGGGCGCGCGGGCGGGCGGCGGACGGCGGGCGGGATCGAGATTTTATTTGAACTCCTGAGGAGGGTGTCTTGCAGCGGGAGCCTGTTGAGTACAAGGTGTTGTGTTGGGCACGGAGGCCGTTGAGTACAGGGTGCTGTGTAGGACACGGAGGCTGTTCAGTACTGGGTGTTGTGGTGGACACAGGAAGAGATGAGCACAAGGAGAGCGGGGGCGGGCGGCGGGCGGGCGCGCGGGCGGGCGGCGGGCGTCGGGCGGGACCGGCATTTTAATATAACTCCTAAAGGAGGGTGTTTTGCAGCGGAAGTCTGCTGTGTGTGTGTGTGTGGAACGCGGAGGCTGTTGAGTACTGGGTGTTGTGTCGGACACGGGGGATGCGGAAGGGGTTCAGGGAAGGGCGCACCAGAGACCTCGAGCCACATATGTTGATGAGTTGGCTGATGATGATGCTGCTGCTGATGATGATGATGATGGTGGTGATGACGAGTGCTCATGAGAATCATAAGTATGACGGGTAATGATCATGCGGGGGGATGTCTAACATGGTAGTCCCCAGCTGGAACCATGCCTTTTATGTATTCAGGCCACCCAAGGTGGTATCCAGCATGTGTGCCCCGAGTTGGAACCACGTGTTTTCACGTGTCCAGGCTACACACGGGCGTATCTAACATGGATCTACCGAGCTGGAGCCATGTGTTTTTACGTGTTCTGGCTGCCCAGCGGGGTATCTAACATGGTTGCCCCTAGCTGGAACACGATTTTTCACGTGTTCAGGCCACACCTGGAGGGCCTCTAGCATGGCGGTCCCGAGCTGGAGCCACGTCTTTTCAGGTGTCCTGGCCACCCAGGGGGGTATCTAACATGGGGGCTCCGAGCTGGAAGCTCGTATTTTCATGTGTCCACGCCGCCCAGGGGTATCTAACATGGTGGTTCCGAGCTGGAACCACGTCCCACACAGCAGGGCATGCAATAAGGCGGTTCCGAGCTCAAGCCACGCGTTTTCACGTGTCCAGGCCACACAGGGGGGTGTCTAAAGTTGTTGTCCCGAGCTGAACCACGTGTGTTTACGTGTCCTGGCCACCCAGGGAATATAAAGTTTTTTTCGTGTGTCCAGGTCTTCCAGGCGGATGTCTGACATGAGGATGTTTTGAATATGTCTCTAGGAAGACGCTTGTTTTTACGTGTCTTGTGATCACGTGTCCAGGCCACCCACGAGGGTATCTAACATGGAATTCCCGAGCTGGAGCCATGTGCTTTTACGTGTCCAGGCCGCCCAGCCGGGCATCTAAGATGGTTGCCAGAGAGGGCTCGCAGAAGCGAGGGCAGGCCTCCCTGGCTCGCCCTTCCCGGCCCCCCCCGGAGAGGAAAAACCTCGAGACCCCTGCCCCTCGCGCCCCCCCCCCCCAAGGGGACAACAAAAAAGCTTCGATGGACCCTGCCCCACGCGCCCCCCCCCAAGGGGAACCAAAGAAGCCACACGGGGGGGGGGGGAACAAACAAAAACAAACAAAAAAAACGCCGGCGGGACCCCCCCCCCCCCCGGGAAAAAAAAACCGCCGGGGGGGGAGAAAAAAAAACGCGCCCCCCTCTGTGGGGCCGAGCAAAACTCGGAGTGTTTCGTTCTAAACTCTAAACCATTATTCTCCTCTTGATCCTCCTCTTCTTCGCTTCCCCTCCTCTAGCCTCCAGCCCCAATCCTCTATCCTCCATCCTCCGTCATCCATTATCCTCCTCCTCCTTCTCCTCCTCCTTTTCCTCCTTTTACTTTTCCCCATTCGAAGAAGATGCTCAGCCGCCGTTTGGCTTGAGCACCGGCGCGTACTAAACTGTATTCGTGAGTTTGACAGCCCGCTTTCTACATCTTATTGACGCAACGCTTTCTCGCGTCAAGCTTCTAGCCCCCACAGTTAAAGTTGGCAGCGGGACTGGGAACGATCCCAGCTCGCGATCCACGGAACGTGCGCAGAGTGATATGTGGACGCGGATTCGCCATTCCCTTCGCCTCCGCATGGGTACCACCCTCCAATTGTGCTTGTTGCTGTTCTGCAGACCTACGGATATATCGCCCTGGGTGCCCACAAACCAGCAACATCATTCGAGTGTCTGCGAGGATCCGGCTGCGAGGGCGAAAGCAGCTGCAAGCTACGCGATGCGGAGCGACCCGCCCACAGGAACGCCACGACTTTCACACGACCCATCGCACTCCGCAGGAGTTGGTCGTAGCTTCGCGTCGGGCATGACGACGAAGCTCTTACCCAGGCTGTGCCTCGTGATGTACGCGACAGTGCTAGCTGTCCTCGCGAGCGCGTCGCACCACCTGAGTGAACCACTGAACCTTAATGTGCCATTCTCACCCCCCTGGGTTTCGACCACGGTTGTCGGCACCACTACGGTTGCCCCCAACTTCGATATGGCGCTTGTCCCTGCGCAGGCCCGAGTCCCAAAACGCCTCCGCAGCTTTCATTGTGGTAGACTAATTGGGAAGGACCTCCGTCTTGGAACTATGGGGCAGCATTCCCATGTTCTTCATGATCGCCCTTCTTTGGCTCACTGGCATGGTGCCCAGTGGAGGCGGCCCACAGGGCGGTGGCCGCGGTAGCATATGGTAGCATCACTTCCCGCCAGCCGTCCTGCTGGTCGCCTGAGCGCGAGTCAGCGTATCTGTTCGGTCATTGGAGACAAGACTTGCTCGCGAGGGGCGCGCTCGCTGCCGACAATGGCATCGCCCAACAGTGCGCTGCCGTCATCCTTACATCTCCTTTGTAGAGCCGCTCGCGAGCTCACGCGCTCCATGAGCTTCGCGGAGATGGCAGAGGGAGGCGTAGTCAATGACAGCACGAGGACGCCGTGACACACCTCATCGCGAAGCTTGCCATTCGGTTCGGTCCACTGGGCGAGGAGTCGCGCCTCCAGGCTACCCGCGAGTTTTTCGAGTTCTCGAGGCGCCGCAACGAGACCACCGATGCGCTGGTCTCGCGGCTTCTCACGATGCGACTCCGAGTTGCGCGCAACGGTGGAGCGGCGATGTCTGGGAATGATGTAGCTGGCCGGTCCTCCTGGCGGTCGGCGTCGCAGCTAGCCTCTTCATGACGCTGCTCCAGCCATGCGGCAATCCAGTCGTCGGTCGTCGTCGACGACGGTCGTCGACGACGGTCGTCGACGGCGACGACCGACGACGACGACGATCGACGACGATGACAGCAGTTGACGCCGCCGATCGGCGAACGACGACGACGGCCACGGCGACGGCGGCGACGCTGTCCGCGTGCACCGAGCCACTTTGGGCTTAGGTCGGCTCCAGGTGGAGGGTTTCTCCGCGACCCGTCCTCCTCCTCCTCCTCCCTCCTCCCTCCTTCCTCCTCCTCCCTCCTCCCTCCTCCTCCTCCCTCCCTCCTCCCTCCTCCCTCCTCCTCCTCCTCCTCCTCCTCCTCCTCCTCCTCCTCCTCCTCCTCCTCCTCCTCCTCCTCCTCCTCCTCCTCCTCCTAGGGGAACGCTGTGCCTCCTCCTCCTCCTTTCCTCCTCCCTTCCCTCCTTCCTCGCCGTCCTCCGCCTCCTCCTCCTCGCCCTCAGCCCTATGGCGACAACGATATATATATATATATACACATATATATGTGTATATGTATATAGTATATATAGTATATATTATATATTATGTATTATACATTATATGATATATACATATATAATATAATATAATATAATATATAACCCCATGCTCACGAGAGTAAACACTAGGGGATAATAAAGTTCGGGGTTCAGGGGGAGATAATCAAAGTAGCCCACCAGACCTCAGCATAATCTCGAAGTAAGAGATGATCAAGAGGAGACCAAACCGAGCACGTTTTGAGACATCCTTGGCGTTTAGTCTTCATTAAACTATCCTCAACAATGGCTTATCTCGCTGGAGACATCCTCGACAAATCCCTTCCTTTCGCTTGAGACATCCACAAACTATTGTTTATTTCGCTTGAGACACCGTCAAACTATTGCTTAATTCGCTTGAGACATCCTCGAAATAATTGTGTTTTCGCTTGAAACATCATCAAACTATGGCTGATTTCGCCTGAACATCCTGACACTATTGCGTATTTCGCTTGAGACATCCTGAAACTATTGCTTATTTCGCTTGAGACACCGTCAAACTATTGCTTATTTCGCTTGAGACATCCTCGAAATAATTGTGTTTTTTATTCTCGAAGGTCTCATTGTCTGGTTCTGCTCTCTGAGCAGCCATCTGCTTGAGCAGCTCTGCTTCAGCAGCTCACCTTGAGCAGAGAGAGATAGTGAGAGAAAGAGGAGAGAGGGAGGGAGAGAGAGAGAGAGAGAGAGGTGAGACTCTCTCTCTCTCT